TAGGTGAACTACAACTCCCAAACTCAAGGTCAATGCCACCAAACCCTTCCAGTATTTTCTGTTGGTCATGGGGAGTTCTGTGTGCCAAGTTTGGTTCAGTTCCATCATTGGCGGAGTTCAGATTGCTCTTTGGTTGTGGGAGAACTATAAATCCCAGCAACTACAACTCCCAAACTCAAGGTCAGTGCCCACCAAACCCTTCCGGTATTTTCTGTTGGTCATTGGAGTTCTGTGTGGGAAATTTGTCCCAATTCTATTGTTGGTGAGGTGAACTATAAATCCCAGCAACTACAACTCCCAAACGACAAGGTCTATCTCCCCACCAACCCCACCAGTATTTAAATTTGCGCCTACTGGATATTTGTAGGGTTTTCCACAAAGAAAGTGCCACCACATTGTCAAGGAAGAAAGAAACCACACCAAATCCCTTGTACTTTAAGTACTACAGAGCCATCTTCTCTGTCTGGGACTCACCGGGTTCTTCAAACTGCTAAGCATGCTCTTGGGCAGGATATTCGAATATGGATTCCCAGCAGACATCTTTGAAGCCAGGAAGAGATGCTGCAAAGAGAGCACATGCAAACAGAAGGGGGAAAAATGCCTTCAAAACAATGCAAATTCCACAGAGGGTGCCTCCAGGCAACAATAGCCAGGCCACCTCTATGCAGATACCCTCACTGATTGACTTTGCAGCCGCAAGGCTACTCAATGCTAATCAAGATGGCTAATTGCAACATAAAAATGCCTTCAAAACAATGCAAACAAACAAGAATTCCACAGAGGGTGCCTCCAGGCAACAATAGCCAGGCCACCTCTATGCAGATACCCTCACTGATTGACTTTGCAGCTGCAAGGCTACTCAATGCTAATCAAGATGGCTAATTGCAACATAAAAATGCCTTCAAAACAATGCAAACAAACAAGAATTCCACAGAGGGTGCCTCCAGGCAACAATAGCCAGGCCACCTCTATGCAGATACCCTCACTGATTGACTTTGCAGCCGCAAGGCTACTCAATGCTAATCAAGATGGCTAATTGCAACATAAAAATGCCTTCAAAACAATGCAAACAAACAAGAGTTCCACAGAGGGTGCCTCCAGGCAACAATAGCCAGGCCACCTCTATGCAGATACCCTCACTGATTGACTTTGCAGCCGCAAGGCTACTCAATGCTAATCAAGATGGCTAATTGCAACATAAAAATGCCTTCAAAACAATGCAAACAAACAAGAATTCCACAGAGGGTGCCTCCAGGCAACAATAGCCAGGCCACCTCTATGCAGATACCCTCACTGATTGACTTTGCAGCTGCAAGGCTACTCAATGCTAATCAAGCTGGCTAATTGCAACACTCACACTCGCTCCAAACAGGAAAGAGGCCATAATTATAGCAAACAATAGTTCTACTACAATTTTACCAGGCAGTGTCGTAGCCACCTCTTTCTTTTTCCCCGCGTCTCTCCGTCTCCTAGCAACCCTCGAAGGCCCGCCGTTTCCATGGTGACCGTCGGAAGCCAACATGGCTGCGGGGTTCTTGTGACGTTAGGGTCCGTCTCAAAAGTCCGTCACAAGATCACAACGCAAAGCAGCCTGAACCAACCAGACTTCTTAGGTTTCCGTTCCGAAACATGGATTTTTAGAATCCTCTTGTTGTCTTTAGTCATTTTATTCCTTCCTCGGCCCACAAGTGAGGTATTTCCAGTTTCTGATTTTGCGGTAGTTTGTAGATAATCCCTTGTTGGTAAGTGGGCGGGGCCTTAGTTCTGATTCCACTCATTCTCCTAGTGGAGGCAGACCAAGGCTGCGCATGCGCATCTTTGTGTTCAGTCGCCTCAGTTCTGACTCCTCCCATTCTCCTAGTGGAGGCAGACCAAGGCTGCGCATGCGCACCTTTGTGCTCAGTCTTCTCCCCGCACGCCCAGTCTGATGGAAGAGCCACAAAACAAATGGCGCATGCGTACTTCCTCTTTGTCTTTTTTGCAGTGGTGTCTTGCTTCCTAAGCCTCATTTATGCAAAATATCTTTGCATCAGAAATATCTTGCAGTTAGGATTTTATATATTTTATATATTTCATTTTATATCAATATAAAATATATAATATTATTTAAAAAATATAAATAAAAATATATAATATTATATAAAATATATAAATATAAAATTATATTTATATTTATATTGATTTATTTTTATTTTCCTTGATTAAAATCATCTGTAACTTGCTGTGGTTTTTAATTTTGAATATATTCTCCAAGGGCATTAAATACTAAACACAAGTCGTGTTTGACGCTGCGTCTGGTGGTCCCTATGTAGTCCCCCAGGCAGCAACCAGCCAGGCTTTGAAGCTGAAAGGCCATTCAGTGCTAATCAAGGTGGCCAATTGCAACATTCACACTTTTCTCAAGCAGACAAGAGTTCTTTCTCCCACCCCGGACATTATCCCACAGATATATCAACCCCACTGGCCTAGTTTCCAATAGATCTTACAACCTCTGAGGATGCCTTCCGTAGATGTGGGAGAAATGTCAGGAGAGAATGCTTCTGGAACATGGCCATACAGCCAGAAAAAGATTCCGGTCATGAAAGCCTTTGACAACACACTGTTTTTATTCTGTTTATATTTAATACTGTTTATATTTAATCTTCTTTTAATGTTTGCATATTTTCAATTGTATTGTTTATTCGTTCAGCCGTGTCCGACTCTTGGTGACCTCATGGACCAGCCCAGGCCAGAGCTCACTGCCAGCTGTGGCCACCCCCAGCTCCTTCACAGTCAAGCCAGTCCTTTCAAGGATTTTTATTTATTTACTTACAGTATGTATATTCTGCCCTTTTCACCCTGCAGGGGACTCAGGGCGGATTACAATGTACACATATATGGCAAACATTCAATGCCAAAGACACACAACAGATACAGACAGACGTCCGAGGCTATTTAACTTTTCTGGCCGCCAGGGGAGCTGTCGCTTTCATCGTCCATCTGCGACACTGATGAAGTACTTCCACATTCCCCGCATGCTTTGCTGGAGTGCTTTTGCTGGAGTCTTTTTTTGTGGCCTCGTACATTTTTGTTAAATTAGCCTCCCCACACATAGGTGGTACCTAATTTTCCTACTTGACAGATGCAACTGTCTTTCAGGTTGCAAAGGTCGACAACAAGCTACACAATTGGTTGGAAGCTCGCTCCAACCCGGGCTGGCTTCGAACTCATTATCTTTTGGTCAGAAGTGATCTTAATGCAGCTGACGCTCAGCCAGCTGTGCAATTTTTGGAAGAAGGGGAGCTAAAGCCTTTCAAGAAAAACCCTCCCCAGAAGAGGGTAGGGAGAAACTACATCCATCCATCTTGCCCTTGGTCGGCCCCTCTTCCTTTTTCCTTCCACTTTCCCCAGCATAATTGTCTTCTCTAGGCTTTGCTGTCTCCTCATGATGTGGCCAAAGTACTTCAACTTTGTCTCTAGTCTCCTTCCCTCCAGTGAGCAGTCAGGCTTTATTTCCTGGAGGATGGACTGGTTGGATCTTCTCGCAGTCCAAGGCACTCTCAGCACTTTCCTCCAGCACCACAGCTCAAAAGCATCTCTCTTCCTTCGCTCAACCTTCCTTCTGGTCCATCTCTCGCATCCGTAGGTGACTATGGCGAATACCACTGCTTTAACTATGCGGAGCTTCATTGCCAGCGTGATGTCTCTACTCTTCAGTATTTTATCGAGACGGGTCCTTGCTCTCCTCCCAAGAAGGAAGCGTCTCCTGATTTCCTGGCTGCAGTCTGCAGTCATCTTTGCACCTAGAAATACAAACCCTCTATTTCCCAGTTGTCAATCACTCCAGTTGCCAGAATCTTGTTTTTTGATGTTTAGCTGCAACCCAGCTTTTGCACTTTCTTCTTTCACCTTGATTAGAAGACTCCTCAGCTCCTCCTCGCTTTCAGCCATCAAAGTGGTGTCATCTGCATATCTAAGGTTATTAATGTTTCTTCCAGCAATTTTAACTCCAGCCTTAGATTCGTCAAGCCCCGTGCACCGCATGATGTGTTCTGCATACATGTTGAATAGGTTGGGTGAGATTAGACAGCCCTGCCGTACTCCTTTCCCAATCTTGAACCAGTCGGTTGTTCCGTGGTCAATTGTACACTACTCTTTATGTTTAGCCACTCTGAGTCTCCTTCGAGACAGATAAAGCGGTATATAAATCAATAGAACAATAACAATAATAATAAATCCATGTTGGAGCATGTAAGAAATCTGTTACTGTGTGTATGTGTCAACTGTAAAGTAAGATGCATGAAGCTGATTGGTTGAGCTATGTCCGGGGAGATGGCTGAGCCTGAGGCTTTTGGATACTGTTACATTTTGTCCAGGCTTGAGCTATGCACGTGCAGACAGTTTGAAGAGAGAAGCAGAGAGTCAGTTTTGGAGTGTATTCTTGCTTCATAAGTTGCTGGAAGGAGTTTCTCCACATGGACAAAAAAAGACAATTTTGAGTCTCTTATAAAATATTATGTGAGTTGGTGCAACTGATCACACTGTACATAGATGAGGTTGGCTTGATGCACCTTCCTCTTGGCATGTTTCTCTCTTTCACCCTCCATTTGTGCCTCTTCAAATTCTACAGCATTGCTGGTCACAGCCGACCTCCAACTGGAGTGCTCACAGGCCAGGGCTTCCCAGTTCTCAGAGTTTATGGTTATAAACAAAGAGTAAACTACTTGTTCTTTAGTGTTCACTTGTGTTGCATATTTTCTTTCTCCGGGAAGGCAGTGTGTGGGCTTATCAAACGTGAACTACACGTGGTTTATTTTATATTATGGCACAATCCATAATTATGTGTTTTTATCTTTATTAGGAACTAATATGATAGATATAGGCAACAATTTCCAAATTCTTTTTTTTCAAACCAAGGAAGTGTGACACAGACCAGTCTGAATGTCTCTTGTAAATGTTATCTTTGTAATGTATATTTCTTAATTTTGTTTTTTTCAAGTGGCAAAGAAAAAGAACAAGGAGGAAAGAATACAAAAACCAAAGAAGAGAAGTACATACACTGTAGAATGAAGGCAGTTTGATACCACTTGAACTGCCATGGCTCAGTGTTATGCAATCATAAGATTTGTAGTTTAGCAAGATACCAACACTCTCTGGCAGAGAAGGCTAACGATCTTTTTTTTTTCATGTCAGGAACAACTTGAGAAACCGCAATTCGCTTCCGGTGTGAGAGAATTGGCCGTCTGCAAGGACGTTGCCCAGGGGATGCCCAGATGATTGATGTTTTACCATCTTTTTGGGAGGCTTCTCTCATGTCCCCGCATGGGGAGCTGGAGCTGACAGAGGGAGCTCACCCATGCTCTCCCCAGATTCGAACCTCCAACCTGTCAGTCTTCAGTCCTACCGGCACAAGGGTTTAACTCACTGCGCCACCAGAGGCTCCTGTAAAGATCTTGAGATACTGTAACTCCCATGATTCCATAGCATTGAACTGTGGCAGTTCATGTGGTGTCAAACTGCATTGTTTCTGCAGTGTGGATGCACCCACAATCCCTTCCCATCAAAAGTAGTCCTATCACTTTGACTCTATGCATCGTAGCTCCACTTTACCATTGTTCAGTGGTTAATGGACTGGGTGACTATGGGTGCAATTAGAACTGGGAGTTGTAGTTTGGTGAGAAGCTAGCACTATCTGGCCTAGAAGGCTTGTAAAACCATGTCTCTCATTATTCCATAGCATTGAGACAAGGTGGTTAAAGTGAAATCAGACCCTTAATTGTATAGTATAGATCAGGCATGGGCAAACTTTGGCCCTCCAGGTGTTTTGGACTCCAACTCCCACAATTCCCACAGGCTTGAGTTTTGGCAGTTGGGATTTGTCAGTTGGGAGTTAGATAGTCGGTTGGTGTTCACAGTTGGATAGTGCTAGATAGGAGAACCGGGTTAATCTTTTGAAGTATTCAAGGGTTAGAGGAATTAGCCAGGAATACTGACAGTAGGAACAGGACCTTGCTTATGGTCTGCTTCTTTTATTCCTGAGGAAGGCAAGGCCAAGGTTGTTAGACTAGATTCCAGAAAGTGGGAATTTGGTTTGGAATTATCATCAGAGATTAGTTTCCTGAGATAATATCCTGTTTTGTTAACTCTAGATTTGAACCCAGTGTTTATTTATTTGTTTACTTCATTTATATATCGCTTTTCTCAGCCCTTGGGCAACTCAAAGCAGTACCCATCTAAGAATTGTACATCAAACGTAACCAAAAGCTTTTGTGCCATTCACTTACAGAAACCATTACGCATTTGTACCAGAAGAGTTTAAGCCTGTTAAATAAACATTTTATTATAGTTAACACATTACAACAGCCTGTGTGTGAACATCACTGGTATTTAAACCCTCCGAGGACAACAAACACCATAGTAACACAGAAGGGTGTTACTAAGTATCCTCTCCACACATATAACTCAGCCTGAATACTAAGCAATAAGGTGGCAGCGTACCCCAATTGAAGAAACAGTTACAAAACCTCTCATTTCAGGCTTAATTCAAATATATATTCAGTTCCCTCCTTCCTGTGATATTCATTATAATTTTGGTGAAGTAGCGTTGGGATTATTCTTGTGTCTTTCCCTGTCTGATAAATTCAAAATATTTTAATACCTTCTCTACTATTCGGCCTTCCTCTCCTGATAAACCATTCATAATTATAAAGGCTGTTAGGCATGGTGGGAGTTGGAATCCAAAACACCTGAAGGGCCAAAGTTTGCCCATGCCTGGTGTAGATGGACCATAAAGAAGGAGTAAAGAAGTAGTAAAGTAGGAAAGGTAAACCACTGACCAATATACATTTTGGTGTTTCAAATGTTAGCACCACTTCAGGGTCTATTTGACCTGGTGATTACAAAAATTGCACAATTTTCCCCCTATCAGCTCTAGTTTTTGAGATACAGAACGTATGCCATCTTCCAGTTGCCATCTGCTCACCCCTAGAAAACCATGATAACCATGTGTAAGAAACTAGAGCTGATGTGGTCTATCCTATACATGTGGTCTATCCTGTTTTGGTTGGGCTGTGATATTGTTTAGGTTTCGGGCCCCCGTTGTGTCTAGATTGCGGAAGGCGGCCTGGTCCACTTGTTGCCCCATACAATTGCTCATGTGCTTCCTTGGCTCCACCATAAACATCTAGAGATACTTTCAGACTCCATTCTGGTAGTGGGTCTCCATTTCTTTCCACTTGCCACAGTCCAGGCTGCCCACTATTTCAGTGAGTAGTGTTTGAAGCATGGACGTCCGCCTCTTGCTGACCTCCAAGACGCTGTGATGGTCAACGTTCGCCTTCGCATTGTAGTCTTTGACCACTTTGTTGGTGATCAGCGAGAGGCCAAAGACACGGAGGCCGCAATGCCGGGCCACAACGACCTCCGCTGCAGTGCTCATACCTGGAAGGACAGAAGGAGACAGTTTTTAGCATCTGATCCAATCCCAAATGTCCCAGATCAAGACTTTCATGGGGATGCCAAGATGCTTATTTATAAAGATACTAGCAATCCCCTGCCACACGTTGCTGTGACCCACATGGGGGTTCTGTGTAGGAGGTTTGGCCCAATTCTATCGTTGATTGGGTTCAGAATGCTCTGTGACTGTAGGTGAACTATAAATCCCAGCAAGTACAACTCCCAAATATCAAGATTCTATTTTCCCCAAACTCCACCAGTGTTCACATTTGGGCATATTGAGTGTTTGTGTAGAGTTTGGCCCAGATCCATCATTGTTTGAGTCCACAGTGATCTCTGGATGTAGGTGAACTACAACTCCAAAACCAAAGGACACTGCCCACCAAACCCTTCCAGTATTTTCTGTTGGTCATGGGAGAACTGTGTGCCAAGTTTGGCTCAATTCCATCGTTGGTGGGGTTCAGAATGCTCTTTGATTGTGGGTGAACTATAAATCCCAGCAACTACAACTCCCAAATGACAAAATCAATTTTTTGAGTGAAGGACATACATTGGGTTGTTATGTGTCTTGTGTCCAAATTTGGTGTCAATTCATCCAGTGGTTTTTGAATTCTGTTAATTCCACAAACAAACATTACATTTTTAACATGATTTTTGTTCCCGGGTTACAAATGCCATTTTCTAATTGGTTCTATCATTAAAAAACATGGGGAAAGTTTATTAAACTGCAGAAACTTTGTTTTTGTGAAAAGGCTATCCTGCTATAGCACATTTTGCAATAGTGTTTCAATGAATATCTCATGGAGTCAATGAATATCTCATGGAGACAATTCAACATAGCCTGTGGCAGCCACAAAAAAGGAAGTTTCTTGAATGGAACAACAACTACTGATGTAAAAACCACACAATTAAACAGGAAACAACAGAGGCTGGATGGCCGTCTGTCAAGAGTGCTTTGATTGTGCTTTTCCTGTATGGCAGGAGGTTGGAATAGATTGCCCATGGCGTCTCTCCTATCTCTATGCTTCTAAGTGTCTTACCCACAGCGTCTGCTCCCAGTAAGTGTAACAGCCGAGCCTCTGCCACGGATTCAAAGGTGGGCCCCCCCACCATGCAGTAGACCCCTTCTCTGACAAAGGAGGTGTAGCCCAGGTGCCTAGCGGTCTCCAGGGCCAGCGCACGGATCTTCCTGTCGTAAGCGTCCGAGAGGGCAGGGAAGCGGGGACCAAACCTGCAGAAAGAAGAGGATGCTCTCAACACACCGTAGTGAGTTCTTTATTTACTGTTTTGACTCTACAAACTACAAGAGAGGAGATTCCATCTGAACATGAGGAAGAACTTCCTGATTGTGAGAGCCGTTCAGCAGTGGAACTCTCTGCCCCGGAGTGTGGTGGAGGCTCCTTCTTTGGAAGCTTTTAAGCAGAGGCTGGATGGCCATTTGTCAGGGGTGATTTGAATGCAATATTCCTGCTTCTTGGCAGAATGGGGTTGGACTGGATGGCCCAGGAGGTCTCTTCCAACTCTTTGATTCTATGATTCTATGATTCTATGGTTCTTTTTAATACTGGAGCCCCCGGTGGCGCAGTGGGTTAAAGCACTGAGCTGCTGAGCTTGTTGATCGAAAGGTCGCAGGTTCGATTCCGGGGAACGGCGTGAGCTTCCGCTGTCAGCCCTAGCTTCTGCCAACCTAGCAGTTCGAAAACATGCAAATGTGAGTAGATCAATAGGTACCGCTCCAAGGTAACGGCGCTCCATGCAGTCATGCCGGCCACATGACCTTGGAGGTGTCTATGGACAACGCTGGCTCTTCGGCTTAGAAATGGAGATGAGCACCACACCTCAGAGTCAGACATGACTGGACTTAATGTCAGGGGACTACCTTTACCTTTACCTTAACCGGATTCTGTTCATTTTCATGGTTTCCTCCTTTCTGTTGAAACTGTCCACGTGCTTCTTGTGGATTTCAGTGGCTTCTCTGTGCAGCCTGACACGGTGGTTGTCAGAGTGGCCCACCATTTCTGTGTTCTCAAACAATATTCTGTGTCCAGGTTGGTTCCTCAAGTACTCTGCTATAGGTGACTACTTTGGCTGAATCAGTCTGCAGTGCCTTTTGTGTTCTCTGATTCATGTCTGCACATCATTGCGTTTGGGGGTCCTTATGTAGACTCCACTTGCTTCACTGCCAACAGAAGCTCTGAGGATGCTTGCCACAGGTGCAGGCAAAACGTTAGGAAAGAATCCTGCTGGGAGATGGCCATACGGCCCAATAAACTCAGAGCAACCCAATATTTACAATGGGTTCACCATTTTTTATCCATTCCATATAAATCCACCATTTCTCTTTGCCCATACCTGCGCTGGACTGAAATCAGTGCTGTGCTTGGTAAGTGCTTTGGCCTAAGTTATGGTTTGCTATCTGCTTGCCTTCCTGCTCAATTTTGGGGCTCATCTCCCAACTGGGAGGAAACAGTAGGGCTTTCAAGAGGGAATCTGGAGCACTTACCGCTCCTCATTGGGACCCTGCAAAGGGTTTTCCCCAGTGAGGCCCAACAAGTTGATGTGATCCTTGATGATCATGAGGTCGCCAACGTTGTAGGAATCTGCCAAGCCGCCCGCCGCATTGGTGACCAGTAGCGTCTCGATACCCAAGAGCTTGAATACCCGGATAGGGAAAGTCACCTGATCCAGGGAGAAAAGGTAATTGATTTAAATACATTGTAATGAGATGTCCTTCTCTGCATCATCATTATAGTTTGCATCCTACTTTTCCACATAGAACTAGATTTAACTCTGCTCCCTCCAAAAGCAGTAGGATCAATATAGCAATATTAAATGACCACTCACAAGCCGGTTTTGCTTTGAAATGGATATATTGCATGTATCTCTGCAGCAAAGAAAGACACTACTGACTTTTTCCCACCACCACTTCCTTTTATACACCTTTCCTGCCCATCTCCCCCTCTTCTCAGTTTCCTTATTAAAGCTTGTTGCTTCACAAGTTCCAAATCAAGGTTTCTAGTACCCTCTGCTGTCTTCAAAATGTCACAGAGAGAGAATTGAGACAGGCAGGATGATTTAGTCAGGATGTCATGGAGGGAATTTGTGATGTCTTCACGATGTCAGAAATTGACTCCTGACAACATGGCTCCCTTCCCAAGATGATTAATCAACTCTGAGTTTTAGTCTCAATTTTAAATGGGATCAAGTCGAGCCTTTTGGACAGCTCTTTGGAACATTCACTGTGTAGATTAATGGGAACTGGATCTAACTCTGGGCGATTTCAACATACTTGGAAGTACTTAGAATTTTTTTAGTGCTATTTGTGTTTAATTCTGTTTTACTGTTTGTATGTTAGCATATTTTAATTTGTCTGTTGTTGTTCATTCGTTCAGTCGTCTCCGACTCTTCGTGACCTCATGGACCAGCCCACGCCAGAGCTCCCTGTCGGCTGTCACCACCCCCAGCTCCTTCAAGGTCAGTCCAGTCACTTCAAGGATGCCATCCATCCATCTTGCCCTTGGTCGGCCCCTCTTCCTTTTGCCTTCCACTTTCCCCAGCATAATTGTCTTCTCTAGGCTTTTCTGTCTCCTCATGATGTGGCCAAAGTACTTCAACTTTGTCTCTAGTATCCTTCCCTCCAGTGAGCTGTCGGGCTTTATTTCCTGGAGGATGGACTGGTTGGATCTTCTCGCAGTCCAAGGCACTCTCAGAACTTTCCTCCAACACCACAGCTCAAAAGCATCGATCTTACTTCGCTCAGCCTTCCCTAAGGTCCAGCTCTCACATCCGTAGGTGACTACAGGGAATACCATGGCTTTGACTAGGCGGATCTTTGTTGCCAGTCTGATGTCTCTACTCTTTACTATTTTATCGAGACTGGACATTGCTCTCCTCCCAAGAAGTAAGCGTCTTCTGATTTCCCGGCCACAGTCTGCATCTGCAGTAATCTTTGCACCTAGAAATACAAAGTCTGTCACGGCCTCCACGGTTTCTCCCTCTATTTTCCAGTTGTCAATCATTCTTGTTGCCATAATCTTGGTTTTTTTGATGTTTAGCTGCAACCCGGCTTTTGCGCTTTCTTCTTTCACCTTGATTAGAAGGCTCCTCAGCTCCTCCTCGCTTTCGGCCATCAGAGTGGTGTCATCTGCATATCTGAGGTTGTTAATGTTTCTTCCAGCAATTTTCACCCCAGCTTTGCATTCATCAAGCCCCGCACATCCGCATGATGTGTTCTGCACACACGTTAAAAAGGTTGGGTGAGAGTATGCAGCCTTGCCGTACGCCTTTCCCAATCTTGAACCAGTCTGTTGTTCCATGGTCAGTTCTGACTGTTGCTACTTGGTCCTTGTACAGATTCCTCAGGAGAGAGACAAGGTGGCTTGGGATGCCCATCCCACTAAGAACTTGCCACAATTTATTATGATCCCCACAGTCAAAGGCTTTAGAATAGTCAATGAAGCAGAAGTAGATGTTTTTCTGAAACTCCCTGCCTTTCTCCATTATCCAGCGGATATTGGCAATCTGGTCTCTCGTTCCTCTGCCTTTTCTAAACCCAGCTTGAACATCTGGCAACTCTCGCTCCATGTATTGATGGAGTCTTCCTTGCAGGATCTTGAGCATTACCTTACTGGCATGAGAAATAAGGGCCACTGTACGGAAGTTTGAGCAGTCTTAATTTGTCTAGTGATGCTTTTATGTCAAGCCACTTTGAGTCCCCTTTGGGGAGACAAAGCGGAGTATAAATAAATATAGTTATTATTGGGTTATTGTAGGTTTTTTCGGGCTATATGGCCATGGTCTAGAGGCATTCTCTCCTGACGTTTCGCCTGCTTCTATGGCAAGCATCCTCAGAGGTAGTGAGGTGTTTTGGAACTAGGAAAAAGGGTTTATATATCTGTGGACCCAGTGATTCCGGCCATGAAAGCCTTCGACAATACATAGTTATTATTATTATTATTATTTATTAATGCACAACAAGTCACACTCTCTCTGCCTCGGAGAAGGTGGGCATTGCAAACCTTCTCTAAATAAGTACTGCCAAGAAAACCCTAAGACATAAATTTGGGCTCCAGTGTGGGCTAATTTAAGTATTGGATTAGGACTCTGGGAGACATGGGTTCGAATCCTTGCTCAGTCATGGAAATTCTTTTTGTGACCTTCAGCAAGTCATGCTCTCTCAGCCTCAGAGGAAGGCAAAAGCAAACCTCCAATGAATCAAACTTTTCAAGAAAAACTTGAGAAATGGGTTGTCGTGAGGTGCGCCTTACCTTCCAGAGCGGGTACCCCTCATACATGTGGAAGCGCCCTTTCATGCAGACACATTGTTTGCCTTTCAGTCCCCCGAAGATGAGGTGGCCATCGTGGCCGGCCACTGAAGAAAGAGACGGTGAGCCACATTAATGCCCTCACTATTGCCAGTCCACACTAAAAGAGTTTGTTTTGAGGATAGAATATACCGGTAAATAAATAAATGTAATGTAATGTTAGTTTGTGGGATTAACACAACTCAAAAACCACTGGACGAATTGACATGAAATTTGGACAATATACCCCTAACAGACCAACGAGTGACCATCACTCACAACCCCCCCCCCCAAAACAGCAGAAAGACTTAAAAACCCAAAAAAGCTAAATGGAAAGGAGGAGGGAAGAAAGAGAGAAGGAAAGAGAGAAGGAAAGAGGAAGCAAAAGGGAAGGAAGGAGGAAGGGAGGAAGGGAGGAAGAAGGAAGGAAGGAAGGAAGAAGGGAAGGGAAAGGTAGAGAAGGAAGAAAGAGATAAAGCAGAAGGAAAAGAAAAAGGGGGGAAGGAAGGAAAGAGGTAGAGAAGAGAAAGAAGGAAAGAGAGAAGGAAGAGGAAGCAAAGGAAGGAAGGGAGGAAGGAGGAAGGAGGAAGGAAGGAAGGGAAGAGGTAGAGAAGGAAGAAAAGAGAAAGAGAAGGAAAGAAAAAGGGGGGAAAAGGAGGAAAGAGGTAGAGAAGGAAGGAAGGGAGGAAGGAAAGAGGGAGCAAAGGAAGGAGGGAAAGAAGGAGAGAAAGAGGGAGGGAAGGAAAGAGAGAAGGAAGGATGGAAACAAAGCGAAGGAAGGAAGGAAAGGGAAAGAAGGAAGGAGAGAAAGGAGAAAGGAAAAGAAAAGGGGAAAGGGAAGGAAAGAAAGAAAGGAAGAGGAGAAGGAAAGAAGAAAAGGAAGGAAGGAAAGAGGGAGTGAGGTAAAGAGGGGGGAAAGGAGAGAAAGAGGGAGGGAAATTGGCCACAACAATGCCTGGTGGGTACAGCTAGTGTATGTATGTGTGTATATATATATATATGGGTGTGTGTATGTGTGTATATACATACATACACACACACACACACACAGAGGGGGAGAGAGAGAGAGATGCATCTTGACACCACTTTAACTACCATGGGAGTTGTAGTTATTTTGTTTATTATTATTATTATTATTATTAACTTTATTTGTACCCCGCTAGCATCTCCCGAAGGACTCGATGCGGCTTACACAGGCCGAAGCCACAAAACACAATATAATAGAAACAGACATCACAAAAGCAGAACAAATCAAACAATAGCAAAATAACAACAATAGCAGTACATCAAGACATTATTAAAACTGGTTGACTTTGTTTAGCATGAATATTATTATTATTATTATTATTATTATTATCATTATTATTATTATTATTTCCAAAGTGTACACATTATAATATAACTATTGGTTTGTAAAGTCCCTAATTAAAAGTTGTAATTATACACTTTCTAACAATAGTAAAACATGAGTAACTTATTTGATACTTTAGAAATAAAGCAATACAGTGTTTTCAGAATAATTGGAAGCCTTTCACAGAATATATAGGTAGAATATTTAAAGATTGGTCCATAATACCATATATACTCGAGTATAAGCCGACCCGAATAAAAGCCGAGGTTTTCCCAAAAAATTGGGAAAACATGTTGACTCGAGTATAAGCCGAGGGTGGGAAATGCAGCCGCTATGGGTAAATTTCAAAATAAAAATAGATACCAATAAAATTACATTAATTGAGTCATCAGGAGGTGAAATGGTTTTGAATATTTACATAAAACTGTAATTTGAGATAAGACTGCCCAACTCTGATTAAATCATTATTCTAACCTTCTTCAATGTAAATATACTTACGTATCCTTCCAACAATAATAAAGAGAGTAAATTAATAAATGTAATAATAATAATAATAAAGTAAAATAATGGAAATGCAATAATAACAGTAATAATAGAGTAAAATAATAAATGTAATAAACATAATAATAATAATAATAAGGTAAAATACTGTAAATGTAATAATAATAAAGTAAGTAAAATAATACATGAAATAAAAATAATACTAATAACAGAATAATATAATAAATAACCTTGACTCGAGTATAAGTCGAGGGGAGCTTTTTCAGCCTAAAAAAGGGGCTGAAAAACTAGGCTTATACTCGAGTATATACAGTAATTGCATTGAGTGATTAAAAATACATTGTTGGAGAGAAGAGCTAGGGCCCTTCCACACAGCCCTATATCCCAGAATATCAAGGCAGAAAATCCCACAATATCTTCTTTGAACTGGGTTATCTGAATCCACACGGCCATATAATCCAGTTCAAAGCAGATATTGTAGGATTTTCTGCCTTGATATTCTGAGATATAGGGTTGTATGGAAGGGCCCTAGCTCTTCCCTCCAACAATGTATTTTTAATTACTCAATGCATTTTATTTATTTATTTACTACATGTATATGCCACCCTTCTCACCCCAAAGGGGACTCGGAGCGGCTTAAAAGTTATAATTGTTTCTGATTTGTGCGCTATTTTCTTTGGACCTCAATCTGGTCTTGCTCTTATACAATAAAGACACAAAGAGTCATTCAAGAGGTGTTGCTATGGCCGGGCAGCCAGGCTGTTGAAGCACTCTCGCTGCGAGGATGTGGGAGCCATGGAGGCGCCCTGCCCAGGAGTTGTAAGCCAGCAGGGCCAAAGAGGTTTATTATGGCCCCAGGCAGGCGTTGCTATGGCCGGCAGTGGGCAGTTAGGCCATTGAAGCATTCTCGCCACAAGGCTGTGTGGGCCATGAAGGTGCCCTGCCCAGGAGTAGTACAAGGGTTGAATGAAAAGTAATGCCTCCACCTTCGTTACTTGGGTCCGGATGGGAATATTTTAATAAATCAAACACAGAAATAATCCTTAGAATGTGATCTTTAACTACCACTGTTCACTTTTCCACATAATCACCAGACAATTGGATACATTTCTGCCAACGATGAACAAGTTTTCTGAAGCCGTCACAGAAGAAGTCGACACTCTGTTTCCGCAACCAGCGGTTCACAGTTCTCTCAACGTCTTCATCAGAAGCATAATGATGTCCCCGCAGATCTTCTTTCATTATCAGGAACAGATGGAAGTCAGACGGTGCTAAATCTCGACTGTATGGAGGACGTCGTACAGTGGTGAGATCCAGTCCTGGAAGTTCTGCTGTGTACCCATTGTTCACAAATCTTCCGATAGCCAAGCAAAACAATAATGTGACCCACACGTTCTTGTGAAATGCTGATGATGCTTGAAATTTCTCTCTGAGTCATAGAGTCATAGAATCAAAGAGTTGGAAGAGACCTCATGGGCCATCCAGTCCAACCCCATTCTGCCAAGAAGCAGGAATATTGCATTCAAATCACCCTTGACAGATGGCCATCCAGCCTCTGTTTAAAAGCTTCCAAAGAAGGAGCCTCCACCACACTCCGGGGCAGAGAATTCCACTGCTGAACGGCTCTCACAGTCAGGAAGTTCTTTCTCGTATTCAGATGGAATCTCCTCTCTTGTAGTTTGAAGCCATTGTTCCGCATCCTAGTCTCCAGGGAAGCAGAAAACAAGCTTGCTCCCTCCTCCCTGTGGCTTCCTCACACATATTTATACATGGCTATCATATCTCCTCTCAGCCTTCTCTTCTTCAGGCTAAACATGCCCAGCTCCTTAAGCCGCTCCTCATAGGGCTTGTCCTCCACACCCTTGATCATTTTAGTCGCCCTTGCCTTCAGGACAATCGTCCTGAATCCATCTGTCAACCTTTTGCTTGTGAAACTCAGTGGTTGCTGTCACAGGACGTCCAACTGTTTGTTTGTCATACAAGTCAGATGTTCCCACCTCAACATCTTTAAATTTACTCGCCCAACGACGCACAATACTCACATCAACACAATTACCATAAACAGCTTGCATTCTCTGATGAATCTCCTTTGGGATGACACCTTCAATGACTGCATGTTGCTTAAGTAGAATTGCCCGACCGTCTGCGCAGGGTTCCATACTTCACACTTTAACAACACAACCGTTCAATGCTAAGGCTTCCTGCCAAAATGGAACTGTAGAGGAGAGTCTACTGAACAAGCCAGTACCTGCCGCATACCAGTACTGCCATCTGTTGAGGAGTTACGAAGGTGGAGGCATTATTTTTCATTCAACTCTTGTAGTATATATAGGAGTTGTATTATGGGCCAGTCTTTAAATATTCTACCTATATATTCTGTGAAAGGCTTCCAATTATTATGAAAACACTGTATTGCTTTATTTCTAAGGAGACTAGTTAGTTTATGAAGTTCTGCAAAGTTTAGCAATTTGGTCAACAAATGGAATAATGCTTTCGTTACAGTCTCTGGCATTAAACTATTCAGGCAGCTGTTATATCATTTTGAAAGAGAGATGTTGTTTTGCAAGGTCTCTAGCCCTCTTTGCCCAAGTGAGTGGCTGCCTTTTCAAGAGAAGCAAAAGACCTTGGTTACACTACAACTCCAATGATTCTGTAGGATGGAGTCATGGCAGTGAAAGTAGTGTCAAAACTGCATTAATGCTACAGTGTAGCTGCACCACCTGATGAAGAAGGTTGGGACGGGATTGGTTGTACTGTACCTGTACTTTGCGGAAAGTGGGGGATCTCGGTGTATTTGAAAGACTCCTGGTTCTCCAAGCTGTCGGCAAGAGGACCCAGTCCTGAGCCGCAAATGATGGCGATCCGCGGACGTTGGGTGGTCCGGGCCAGAAGCCAGTCCGCTGTCTCTTTGCAGTGCTCAAAGCTGGAAAGAGAGCAAGACCAAATCCAAGCCAACATGGCATCAAGCAGGTATGGGCAAACTTGGGTCCTCCAGGTGTTTTGGACTTCAACTCCCACAATTTCTATCAGCCTATCAGCTGTTAGGAATTGTTGAAGTTGAAGTCCAAAACACCTGGGGGGCCCAAGTTTGCCCAAGACTTTGTCTGGCTTTGTGGTGTTGTCACCTGCCATGAAGTTGACTTGTAAGTGAGAAATCTCCAAACCACTTTGCCTTCAACAGCCCTGCTCAGGTGTTGGCTTCCTTGACTATGTCCATCTATCTGGAATTTTTTGTCTGCCTATCTTCCCAAGAGATTTGCAGGATTTCTGAGAGGCAGCTCTGATGGAATTGTTCCAGGAGTTGCGTATGACGTCTCTAGACAGTCCACATTTGACTGGCGTATAGCAAGATTGGGAGGACAAAGGCTGATCCATTTGGGAAAATGCTGCACTCGCAGAGCTCAGTCACTGGAATTACAGATAAAAGAAGGGATGGACAAACTTGGGCCCTCCAGGTGTTTTGGACTTCAACACCCACAATTTGGACTTCAACACCCATGGATATCCCAGTCCTCAAACACTCTCTGATTCGTTTGGCAAAATGCTGCACTTGCAGAGCTCAGTCAAAAGAGGCTGGGTGGCTATCTGTCAGGGGTGATTTGAATGCAATATTCCTGCTTTTTAGCAGGGGGTTGGACTGGATGGCCCATGAGGTCTCTTCCAACTCTTTGATGCTATGATTGTATGAAATGCTGCACTCGCAGAGCTCAGTCATTGGAATTACAGATAAAGAAGGGATGGACAAACTTAGGTCCTCCAGGAGTTTGGACTTCAACACCCACAATTTGGACTTCAACACCCTCGGATACCCCAGTCCACAAACATTCTCTGATTCGTTTGGCAAAATGCTGCACTCGCAGAGCTCAGTCAAAAGAGGCTGGGTGGCCATCTGTCAGGGGTGATTTGAATGCAATATTCCTGCTTCTTGGCAGGGGGTTGGACTGGATGGCCCATGAGGTCTCTTCCAACTCTTTGATTCTATGATTGTATGAAATGCTGCACTCGCAGAGCTCAGTCATTGGAATTACAGATAAAAGAAGGGATGGACAAACTTGGGCCCTCCAGGTGTTTTGGACTTCAACACCCACAATTTGGACTTCAACACTCATGGATATCCCAGTCCTCAAGCACTCTGGTTCGTTTGGGAAAATGCTGCAATCGCAGAGCTCAGTCATTGGAATTACCGGCTGTTAGGAATGGTGGGAATTGAATCCAAAACACCTGGAGGGCCCAAGTTTGCCCATGCCTGATTTACATTGTTCAGTAACATCTGGGCATTCAAATTGTGTACAAACTAAATAGCGTCAATCCCTATGTCAAAAAATAATAGGATTCTCTTCCCATGGATTCAACAGCCCGTTGAAGGCAACCCTGATGTGGCCCTCTATGAAAGTAAGCATGCCACCTCTGATCTAGATGCACTTTCAACCTCCGTAGACAATAATTACATGCTTCCTTATTCATTTGTTTACACATTTATAGTTTCTGTACTCATTCACTTACTAGGGCAGAAGGAGCCAGGGATGCCATAGAGTGGGAATGCAAGGTGGTTGGCCAGACTGATAGATCAATAAAGGCCGTATTGGTTGATATGTGTCAAGAAGGGTGTGCGGGGAAGACCCACTATGGTTGTGTAAACTCAAACAATCCCATATAACAAATGCATGGACATGCCAGAAAGACCTAATTTTATCAAAGCGTGTTGTCGAAGGTTTCATGGCCGGAATCACTGACTTGCTGTGAGTTTTCCGGGCTGTATGGCCATGTTCCATAAGCATTCTCTCCTGACGTTTCACCCATATGTATGGCAAGCATCCCCAGAGGTTGTGAGGCACTTGCCTGGTTTCCAACAGACCTCACAACCTCTGAGTATACCTGCCATAGATGCATAAATAGTATACTGTCTAGATCCAGCAAAGTCATGCTCCCCATGCTCTATTCTGCCTTGGTTAGACCACACCTCAAATATTGTGTCCAATTCTGGGCACCACAATTGAAGGGAGATATTGACAAGCTGGAATGTGTCCAGAGGAGGGCGACTAAAATGATCAAGGGTCTGGAGAACAAGCCCTATGAGGAGCGGCTTAAGGAGCTGGGCATGTTTAGCCTGAAGAAGAGAAGGCTGAGAGGAGATATGATAGCAATGTATAAATATGTGAGAGGAAGCCACAGGGAGGAGGGAGCAAGCTTGTTTTCTGCTTCATTGGAGACTAGGACGCGGAACAATGGCTTCAAACTACAAGAAAGGAGATTCCATCTGAACATTAGGAAGAACTTCCTGACTGTGAGAGCCGTTCAGCAGTGGAACTCTCTGCCCTGGAGTGTGGTGGAGGCTCCTTCTTTGGAGGCTTTTAAACAAAGGCTGAATAGTCATCTGTTTGGAGTGCTTTGAATGTGATTTTCCTGGTTCTTGGCAGAATGGGGTTGGACTGGATGGCCCACCTCTATGATTCTATGACCCCTCAATCTATAAGGCTGCCTGCCATAGATGCAGGCAAAACGTCAGGAGAGAATACTTCTGGAACATGGCCATACAGCTCGAGAAACTCACAGCATCCCAGTGATTTCAGCCATGAAAGTCTTCGACAACACATCATCTAGTCCATCCCCGCAATTCTATGATTGTGTGATGATATAATTAATTGTTACTGTTTTTAACTTTTCATGTATTTATGGTTTTATACTGTTGTTATTGCTATTGTGGCATTGAATTGCTGCCTATGTTAGCCGCTCTGAGGCTAACCCTCGGGGGGTTGAGGCGGCGGGGTAAAAATGCTGTAAAATAAATAAATAAATAAATAAATAGTTTCCTGTTTCATTGTGCTGTCCTTGCTTTGAAAGTAGTTGTTCTACTCAAGGAACTTTGTTTTCGTGGCACAATTGGCTGAGACTCGAGGAGATGTTCACTGAAAACTTAGAGCAAAATGTGCTGCAGGATGTCCTTCCCGCAAAAACAAAGTTTTTGCAGTTTAATAAACTTTTCCTATGTCTTTATGATAAAACCAATTAGGAAATGACACTGATAACCCAGGAACAGAAATCGTTTTATGTAGTATAATAATCTCTGCCTCACACACTCACATGCACAGGGAAGAAAGGAAGACATGTCCCATTTAGACCTACCTGAATGTGTCCGTCGGTTGCATCCTGAATCCCAAATCAAAGCAGCAAGAGAAACAGTTGGGTCTGAATGGAGAAGCTTTGCCTTCTTGCTCTAGCAATCTTTCCGTGCAAGGAAAGAGCAGTTTTATACAGAAGGGAGTTTTCTCCTTTGGGGGTGGAGGCAAATGAATGGGATTAGCCATTGGCTCTGGGCTGGTGAGTGATGCTTAGCAATGAATGCACACCCACAGCCTGGATTGTTTCAACTCTGGACCATGCTCCCCACCTCGCCTGCATCCACCCTTGAGGCTCTGCCAAAGGATCCCGTGGACCTGAGACCGACCGGAGATCCTATGAGGAACCCATGACCAGTTGGCCTTCACTTGTCTCCAAGGAATTGGCTGGAATAGCTCCTCTCTTCCTGCCAACCCATCCCTGACCTGCCTGGGGATAATGGGGCTTGGAGTCTCTCTAAAGGCCTGGGGCAGCTTCTCATGATCCTATAATTGCCCGTTAAAAATAAGATGCACTTCAAAGAACAGAGAATGGGAGAAATGGGAGAAATGTCCAGTGGAGCTGAAAGAGAGAAAGGAAAGAGATTATGCAGCACACTCTCAGGTCCCTTTTACACTGCCATGTCATCCAGATTATCAAAGCAGATAATCCACATTGTCTGCTTTGAATTGGATTATATGATCCTACACTACCTGTTATTCCGGAGACCCCAGTGGCGCAGTGGGTTAAACCCCTGTGCCGGCAGGACTGAAGACCGACAGGTCACAGGTTCGAATCCGGGGAGAGGCGGATGAGCTCCCTCTATCAGCTCCAGCTCCCCACAAGAAGCCTCCCACAAGGATGGTAAAAACATCAAATCATCCAGGTGTCCCCTGGGCAACGTCTTTGCAGACGGCCAATTCTCTCACACCAGAAGCGACTTTCTCAAGTCACTCCTCATAGAATCATAGAATCAAAGAGTTGAAAGAGACCATCTAGTCCAACCCCATTCTGCCAAGAAGCAGGAATATTGCATTCAAATGACAGATGGCCATCCAGCCTGTGTTTAAAAGCTTCCAAAGAAGGAGCCTCCACCATACTCCGGGGCAGAGAGTTCCACTGCTGAACGGCTCTCACAGTCAGGAAGTTTTTCCTCATGTTCAGATGGAGTCTCCTTTCTTGTAGCTTTATTATTATTATTATTGTAGTTTGAAGCCATTGTTCCTCGTCCTAGTCTCCAGGGAAGCCCTCCCTGTGGCTTCATCTCACATATTTATACATGGCTATCATGTCTCTTCTCAGTCTTCTCTTCTGAAGGCTAAGCATGCCCGGCTCTTTAAGCCGCTCCTCATAGGACTTGTTCTCCAGACCCTTGATCATTTTAGTCGCCCTCCTCTGGACACATTCCTACCGGCTGTTAGGAATTGTGGGAGCTGAAGTCCAAAACACCTGGAGGGCCCAAGTTTGCCTGTTCCTAGTGTAGACGCATCCCATGTTTGCAATTCTCCCTTTGGGCACCTAAACTGAGCCCACAGGTGGAACGTTATCCAAATCCTTTGCCTCTGGTGCATGGAACATAGAGAGACTTAGGGCTGCCTGTGTTTTAAAAAAGGGTTATTGGAGTCTTTCATGTTTGGAAAGGAGCTCCAACTATAATAGCCGTCAGGGGAGAATCATGTGCCCCTTAAGACCTTTCTTGTGATTCCACTTTTCCCTGCTGGAAATGATGCATGTCAGTCACATGGAGTTATAAGCTTCAGCGGAAAGCAGTAACGTCTCCAGAGGGGAGAGTATATGTAACAGGTCCCGGATCCTGACCTCCGTACCTTTGGAGGGATGCAGTGCCTTCAAATGCAACATATACACCGAGCTACGGTAGTTAAAATGGTGTCGACCTGCATTAATTCTACAGTGTAGCTGCAAACTCCCAGGTTTGGAAGAGATTTAGTGCAAATACCTGCTACAAACAGTTTTCCAAAAGAGCAGAAGGAGTCAATGCATAGATTGCAAAAACTTGCAAAGTCTGGCAATATAGGATTAGAGATATTGACAAGCTGGAATGTGTCCAGAGGAGGGCGACTCAAATGATCAAGGGTCAGGAGAACAAGCCCTATGAGAAGCGGCTTAAAGAGCTGGGCATGTTTAGCCTGAAGAACAGAAGGCTGAGAGGAGACATGATAGCCATGTATAAATACTTGAGAGGAAGTCATAGGGAGGAGGGAGCGAACTTGTTTTCTGCTGCCCTGGAGACTAGGACGCAATTGACTTACTTACTTACTTAGGCGATCCCTCGTTGGCCGAATAGGATAGTCTTCCAGGATCAGAATCCTTGTGAGTCCATAAGTAGCTGTGGAACCCTATTCTTGAGCTGCATCTTCTTCCGCAGTGAGGGCATTGGTTTCCAGGTGGAAGGTGGTCCCGGTCTTGACGCGCCTTCCTCTTGGCACGTATCTCTCTTTCGCCCTCCATTCATGCCTCTTCAAATTCTGCAGCACTGCTGGTCACAGCTGACCACCAACTGGAGCACTCAAGGGCCAGGGCTTCCCAGTTCTCAGTGTCTATGCCAGAGTTTTTAAGGTTGGCTTTGAGCCCATCTTTAAATCTCTTTTCCTGCCCACCAACATTTCGTTTTCCATTCTTGAGTTCAGAATAGAGCAACTGCTTTGGGAGACGGTGGTCAGGCATCTGGACAACATGACCGGTCCAGCGGAGTTGATAGCGGAGGACCATCGCTTCAATGCTGGTCTTTGCTTTTTCCAGAACGCTGATATTTGTCCGCCTGTCTTCCCAAGAGATTTGCAGGATTTTCCGGAGGGAGCGCTAATGGAATCGTTCCAGGAGTTGCATGTGACGTCTGTAGACAGTCCATGTTTCGCAGGCATATAGCAGGGTTGGGAGGACAATAGCTCTATAAACAAGCACCTTGGTATCCCTACGGATGTCCCGGTCCTCAAACACTCTCTGCTTCATTCGGAAAAATGCTGCACTCGCAGAGCTCAGGCGGTGTTGTATTTCAGTGTCAATGTTGACTTTTGTGGAGAGGAGAGTGGCTGCCAAGGTAGCGAAAATGGTCAAGATTTTCCGGATTTTCCGGAGGCAGTGCTGATGGAATCGTTCCTGGAGTTGCATGTGACTTCTGTAGACAGTCCACGTTTCGCAGGCATATAGCAGGGTTGGGAGGACAATAGCTTTATAAACAAGCTTTATAAACAAGTCTCACACAATGGAACAATGGATTCAAACTACAAGAAAGGAAGGACTTCCTGACTGTGAGAGCTGTTCAGCAGTGGAACTCTCTGCCCCAGAGTGTGGTAGACGTTCCTTCTTTGGAAGCTTTTAAACAGAGGCTGGATGGCCATCTGTCGGGGGTGTTTTGAATGCAATTTTCCTGCTTCTTGGCAGAGGGTTGGACCGGATGGGTCATGAGGACTCTTCCAACTCAGATTCTATGATACGATTCTATGATTATACATGGAAATTCATGCTTTTGGAAAAGCTTTTTGGTCGGTTTAGATATCATGGTTTGGAGCACATGAGTCCATTTGTAAGTAATATTGAGCATGTGAGTTTGTAGGAAATTACTTAGAGGACCATGATAATTAGCGAGCAGACTTGGTTAATTTGCGTCTCATTAGCACATGTCCCCATCCCGAACTGGCCCAGCCTGCTTCGAACTAAGGGCCCTTTCATACGACTCCGTTGTGGTTTTGATCCTGCTTTAATTGCCATATCTGCATCCTATCAAAAGGTTCATGAAAGGAAAGTTCTCTTTCCTGTGACATTGAAACTGTACCAAATGAGTCTTTTTTTTTGAAGGACGCAGCGAATATATTTATAAGCGTTGACATGCTCACCATTGTAATTGTTGTCATTGGGTCATCATCCCCACCGCAGAAGGAATGCAGCTCGACACCACTTTAATTGCTATAGAGAAATGCCTTCAAGGAATGATGAATTGAACGATAACCCCTGACCTGACCAAACCTTGCAAAATAATGTCCTCGGAAGCACTTTATTTTCTACCTACTAGTGCAATTAAACCCTACTTTCGTCCTTCTGATCCCCTCTCCAGATGTGCTGTCGCACGCTGGGCCTGTGCATAAGACTGTAGAGAGGACATAAATTCTGTGTGCCCAATGGGACGCCGGGGCTGCCTCAGATTAAAGGTCCTTGGATTTCCTTAAAACAGAGTCTTTAGACTGCTTAAAGGTTCAACAAAGTTCTTTATTAATGAAAACAAACAGGTACTTTAGGCTTTCTTAACAGTCTATTGGCTCTCTCTCAATCTTGTCCACAGGGAACAGGCACTATCTTCATAACTGTAACTAATGGGGAAATCCTTAACTTCTAATCTGGGCAGTCTGTCTTTGCCTCTGTTGGCGTGGAGCCCCTGCACCCGGTACCAACTGCTTCTGGCTTCCGCGAGTGACCCTTACCAAGCAGAGCTTTGTAGACTTCCAGGGGAAAATGAACTCAGGTTTCCGTGATGGCTGACTGAAGTCCTTCAGCAAAGGAACTGTAGGGCTGTATAACCCCGGCCAAGCTGTGGGCTGTATATCTCCCCGGCCAAGCCGTAGAAGACGAAGCTTTCTACAGAAGCTCTTGGTATTATGTCCTGCATGAAAGGCTTCTCTGTGTGGACTGAACCCAAAATGGCTCCTATTCCCTCCAAAAACCCAAAAAGGGGGCGGGACCAGGGAACCTAACTATAATTGACAGGTGGCTTGCCCTATGATTGCAGCCAAAAGAAGCCACCTATCTGCAGAGTCCCTGAAACTTAGGACTACAACAAACATTCAATGCAAAGCAAACAAAATTGGAGCTCCTGGTACAGCTGTACCTGCACACCAGATACAATACATTGCCTTCTCACCTAGTGTTTTTAAACTTTTTAATCCTTGCTATCGGCCCTACCCACTGTGATTTATTTTCGGTGTTTAAATTATTGTGATTTTACATTGTTTATGTTTATTTATATTGGTTCTTGTATTTTATTATTTTATAATTATTTTTACTTTATTATTTTATTTTTATTATTTTATGTTTATTGACAAGCTGGAAAGTGTCCAGAGGAGGGCAACTAAAATGATCAAGGGTCTGGAGAACAAGTCCTATGAGGAGCGGCTTAATGTGCTGGGCAAGAGAAGGATGAGAGGA